TTTATATATATACATATACATCCATGTAGAAGTAGGTACACTATACTACACTACAAATCCATAAATAAGTAGGTACACTATACTACACTACACATCCATGTAGAAGTAGGTACACTATACTACACTACACCTCTATGTAGAAGTAGGTACACTATGCTACACTACACCTCCATATAGAAGTAGGTACACTATACTACACTGCACCTCCACACACACACACACACACACACACACACACACATATATATATAAGGATACACACAAACATACACACATACATACATACATACATACATACATATATATATATATATCCATGTAGTATGCAACCTGATAATCCAGACGCATACATACCACTCGCGGAGGCAGTGTTGTGGATGTCTCGAAATCATAGTCCACAGGCACAGCGTACCCAGAAGGCGCTTATATCACTACACTCAAGCTTCTCAACTCCGTATCCACACATGTAACTATAAAAATACGACCATGCCCGTATATAACTTTGGAACACACATGCATATACCCATACATACATGCATTTGAGATAAAGACCTACTACAACACGCGTACATACACCTCGGGGCGGCGGCGTAGTGGGTGTCTCGCCCTCATAGTCCACAGACACAAAGCGCCCAGACAGCGCATATCTCTCGGCTCGCAAGCCTCGCAATCTGCTCACTTTCTTGTTCTTCTCATGCTTGAATTGCGAGAAGTTGGATGCGCTTGTCTGGTGCTTGGTGAATTGGGTGGGCAGTATATGCGGGACACCCCCGGGCTTTGAAAGCATGTTATCCAGATCATCTCTGGTAGTATACATCCACATAGTACCAGATAGTGAGTACTATTGGACGCATGTCTGTCAAAGTATGACCTATACATTTCTTGCTAAGTTTATAATGTGACAAGATAGAGGGCACTTGTCTGGTGGTTGATACGATGGATCGACAGCCCTCGTAGGTAGGCGTATGTAATTTTCGTAACTCTCAAAATCTGTATAGATGGGCAGCCCAGTCATGCTTCTGTGTAATAATATATAGAACTATATATAGACACATGTGTGTGCCTTTTGTCATTTCTGTATATATACACATGTATACATGCATACATTCAGTATACATACATATACACATAAGGTTATATATATATATATATATATATATATAATATATATATACTATACATACATATATT